TTAATGTTCTTTTTTCTCTAAATCACCTTCTCAAGGCCAGTGCTGTGGTGTAGCAGGTAAAGCCGCTGCCTGCAGTGCCGGCATCCCATTTGGGCACTGGTTCAAGTCCCGGCTGCTCCACTTCTGGCCCATCTCCCTGTTAACACACCTGAGAAAGCAGTGAAAGATGGCCCAAGTGCTTGGACCCCTGCACTCACATGGGAGACCTGGAAGAAGCTCCTGGCTCCTGGCTTTGGTATGGCCCAGCTCTGGCTATTGCAGCTGCTGGGTCTTAGTCCACCCGAACGAGGATGGTCTGGGTCTGAAGAAAGGTAAGTGCGCTGCTCGCCCGTTCCCCAGCCTCCCAATCCAGGAGACAGTCAGAGGCAGCGGGGAGTCAAGTCAAGCAACCAAGAACTCAGTTTATTACGTGTAGCAAAGCCTTTTAAAGCACAAGACCGCAGGATTACTGGGGCAGGGCATAAGGACCTACCAATTACTTAAAAGTTCATTTTATGGGGTGACTTTTTACAGGACCAGCCATATGTCTGTACACTCATCATCAGTTGTCACCTCCCCTGATGCTGCGCAGCCAATCAGCTTTGGTAGCAAATGATTTTGGGCACCGCCCACCTTACTTCCTTTGGGCGCCATCTTTGAATTGCCTCCTGTGCCTACTTTCCCCACAGCAGCTATTTGGGGAGTGAACCAGCGGATGGAAGGCCTCTCTCTCTCTGCCTCTGCCTCTCTGTAACTATGCCTTTCAAATTAATAAACACTTTTTTTTTTGAAAGGCAGAGTGGACACAGAGAGAGAGACAGAGAGAAAGGTCTTCCTTTGCCGTTGGTTCACCCTCCAATGGTTCACCCTCCAATGGCCACTGCGGCCGGTGCACTGCGCTGATCCAAAGCCAGGAGCCAGGTGCTTCTCCTGGTCTCCCGTGGGGTGCAGGGCCCAAGCACTTGGACCATCCTCCACTGCACTCCCTGGCCACAGCAGGGAGCTGGCCTGGAAGAGGGGCAACCGGGGACAGAATCCGGCGCCCTGACCGGGACTAGAACCCGGTGTGCCGGCGCCGCAAGGCGGAGGATTAGCCTAGTGCGCCGCGGCGCCGGCTTAAACACTTTTTTTTTTAAGTTATGTTGTCTTGGAAGCTGGAGTTCGTCTCCATTCAGGTTCCATCATATTGGTCAACTTAGCAGGTTGAATGGGAGATGTTAAAGGATTTCATCACTTGGGAAACTCAGCACGTCTGTGTCTCAGGATCTGTGACGTAATCCTTACAGTCCCGCCAAGCTGCCTTCCATGTAGAGCCCAGCTTGCTGCAGCCCCATGGAGCAGCACCCCGGGCTCTGGAGTCGGTGGCCCTGGGTACGAATCGACCCCAGCCTGCCACTTCCAAGCTGTAAGGATGCGGTCACGTACCCTCCGTGGCCCACTGCTGTGTGGCAGGCAACCCTGAAACTGAGGCCAGAAACAGCTTGTGGTTGGGGCCAGGCTGGTAAAGGGGCTTCGGCTCCACTTGTCAGCGGGAGCTCTGAGGTGGGCTTGAGCCATCTGAAGCTGCCTGGTTCACAGTGGGGACCCGTGCTGGCGCTGGCCACCCGCCTTCCTGGGGCCGGCAGTCCCAAGGGGAGAGGCTGGGAAGCAGCTCCACTGCCCTTCCTGCCCTGCCCTTGGGAGCTGCAGAGCTGCACTCCCACCACACTCCGATGGTCAAGGCAGGCAAGAGGCCCGCTCAAGGTCAAGGGGAGGGACCTCAGACCCCGGCCTCAACTGCAGGAGTCATGAGAAGAAGAGCAGTGGGAGGTTGGCTGAATCTGGAAGCTTCAAGCAGCCACAAGAACTTTCTCAGCCTTTCTGAGATTCTCGATTGACATGCTGAGCGCAGAGCCTGGCACAGCGTGGGCACCGCAGGCCGGACAGCCGCGGGGCTGGTCAGCAGCTGAGGATGGCCCCAGCTGGCGGCTGCACACAGCCAGCTCTGAACACCTCTTAGTGCTGTCCCTCGTCTGAACTGAGTCCAGAGCGCTTTCCCTTGACCCCCCAGGCCCTGTTCTCAGGGCCCGCTTGAGTCCTGAAATCTAAAGAACCTCAAAGCAGGAAGGACTGAGCCCCCTGCCCAGCCAGGAATGTTAGGGGGACAGCTGACACAGCCAGGACATGGGCTCTGGACTCACAAGACCAGCAGTGTGTTCAGGAGGGGCCAAGCCAGCCTGGTGGGTCACAGCACACAGCACCTCCAAGCCCACAATCTTCATGGGAGGAGAAACTGAGGCACGATTGCCAAGAGCTACCCAGCTTGTGTGCCAACAGAGCTGGAGCAGCAGAGCTGGGAGGTCGGTGACATCTGGTGCAAGAGACCAGTCTGGGGACACTTGTGGGCCCTGCCCTGTGTCATTACCCACAGCGCCACATCACAGCTCAGCACCCTTGCCCTGCGCCAAGTTCTGGCACCCCATGAGAAAGCAACTTCGATCCAACATGGCACTTTTAAACACTGTTCATTTATTTGAGAGGGAGAGAGGAGAGGAGAGGAGAGAGAGAGAGCTGCAGATCCCATCTCCTAGTTCGCTCCTCAATGACCACAATGACTGGGGCTGGGCTGGTGCCAGGGGCCAGGAGCCAGGAATGCAATTCAGGCCTCCCACATTATGGGTTCCTGCCACCACGCCTCCCAGCCTTCGCCTCCCAGGGTCTGCATTAGCAGGAGCCAGAAGAACTTTGTGGCACTGCAGGTAAAGCTGCCACCTGTGACAATGGCATCCCATAGCCAGTTTGCATCCCATGTGGATGCCAGTTTAAGTCCCAGCTCCACTTCCAATCCAGCTCCCTGCTAATGGCCTGGGAAAAGCAGCGGAGGATGGCCCAAGTACTTGGCCCCTGCCACCCATGTGGGAGACCCAATAGAGAGTATACCAGCAGATGGAAGATATCTCTGTAACTCTGTCTTTCCAATAAATAAATATTAAAAAAAAAAAAGAGCCAGAGCTGAGACTGGAACTCAGACACTCCCGTGTGGGATGTGGGTACCTAATCGCCTGGCCATGTGCCCACCCCCATGATGCATCTTTTCTGGTCCATTTCCTTCTGTGGTGTGAGCTCCGTGAGCTCAGGACCAGACAAGCCCACCGTGTCCCTCCGTGTCTCACCTGGTGTCTGTGCAAGCAGAGTGGGTGCACAGTGTGGGGGGTGGGGGCTGGGAATACCCTGGAGCAGCAAACTGCCAGGCAGCCCTGGTTCTTTCTTTATTTAAAAAAGATTTATTTTTTATTTATTTGAAAGGCAGAGTTACAGAGAAAAGGAAAAGGCAGAGAGATCTTCCCACCACTGGTTCACTCCCCAGATGGCCAAAACAGCTGGAGCTGAGCCAATCTGAAGCCAGGAGCCAGGAGCCAGGAGCCTGGGCCATCTGCTGCTGTGTTCCCAGGCTGTAGCAGAGCGCTGGATCAGAAGTGGAGCAGCCGGGTCTCGAACAGGCACCCACGGGGGATCTGGCACTGCAGACGGTGGCCTTACCCGCTGCACCACAGCATGGTTGGCAGCCCAGCTTTTTACCTGGCTCTATGGGGAGCACCTGGAGGGGACTCACACCTGGACTGATGAAGTCAGGCCCCAGGTGTGAATTCTTTGCCTGTGGGGGTGATGGGGCAGCTGTGGGTGAACAGGTGCAGAGGATTAGGGAAGGAGAAGGGGGAAAGGGCAAGAAGAAAGGAGGGGAGAGGTGGGGAGCCGGGATGGGAGAGGCGGCTACGGGGGTGCCACGGCGTTGCCCCAACCGCGGGCCGAGGTGCAGCGGAGGACTGGCCCTGGCTCTGGCCTGCACTGGCTCGGTTGTGGGGCTGGGGAGGAGCAGGGGGCGGGGGGCGGGCACGGTGGGGCAGGAGAGGTGTCACAGACACCCCGGGGAAGTTCAGAGAAGAACATCAGAGAAGAACATCAGGGCCAGAGCGCTGGGGCGTCCGCGGCTCTTGTGCGACGTGCCGGGGTCTGGGCAGCTGTCCCCGGCCAGTGCCAGCACCCATCGGGGCCAGACCGCTCCGGAGGATCGCCTCTATTTCCGCCGTGCATGGCCTGACATGGGGTGGGCCTGGAATCACAGGGGACCCAGGCGTGCAGGGCGGGCCACACACTCAGGGAGCCTGGGGCACGGCCGGGAGATGCAAAGTTGGGAGCTCCATCCCCGCTAGCCGTGAGCGCATCGAGCGCCCCGCAGGCGTTAGTTTGCGCATCTGTGCGATGGGATCTCGGCTCTTGCGGGGCACGGTGAGGGGGGCGGAGTCCGCGCACGCTCGGAACAGGGCGCGGGGCTCGGGGCGTGCATGGATGCTGGTTCTGGCGTGCTGGGGTCCGCGCGGCCTCCGTCCGGGGATCCCCCATCCCGCCGCCCACACGACCCCGGCCCAAACGACCGGCGCAGGGGTGCCTCTGCTGGAGGCCGTTCCCCGGCCGGCAGGGGAGGGGGCGGCGGCGGCACCGAGGAGCCGGGAGCCGGAGCCGCGGCTGCCCGGGCCCGCCTGACCCTCGAGGGGGTCGCTGTTGCCTCGCAGATCCCTCTCCGCCGCTCCCGCCGCGTCCGCCTTTTGTTCGCGGAGCCGCGCGCCCCCGAGCCGAGGCGGCGGGGCGGGGAGCTGGCGGGGCTGCGCGGGGGGCGGGCCGCGCCGGGCGGAGCCGGGGCCCGGGCCGCAGCCGGACTCGGAGCCCGAGGGAGCGAGCGGCGTGCAGGCGGCCGGGGCCCGGGCGCGCTCCGGGGGCGCGGCGAGGCCGAGGGGGCGGGCGCCGGGCGGAGCCGGAGCCGGAGCCGGGGCGCCTGGAGGCGATCGGGCCGTGCTCTCCGAGCTCAGGGCAGTGCTGAGCCCGCGCGGCGGGGGTCGAGGCCGGAGCGCAGCCCCGGGGCCGAGGTGGGCCGAGCGGAGCCGCCTCCCGAGCGGCCCGAGCCGCGCGGAGACCCTCCCCGGGGACGCCGAGGCCGGGCGGGCCCGGGCCATGCGCGCCGCTCGCTGAGGCCCAGGGAGGCCGTGATGGAGGCGCCGGCGGTCGAGCCCCCAGCCCGGGGCTGCGGCCCCGCGCCCGCGCCCGCGCCCGCCGCGGAGAGGAAGAAGAGCCACCGCGCGCCGTCGCCAGCCCGGCCCAAGGACGTGGCCGGCTGGTCGCTGGCCAAGGGCCGCCGCGGCCCAGGCCCGGGCGCCGCCGCCGCCTGCAGCGCCGCATCCTCGGCGCGGCCGGACAAGAAGGGGCGCGCGGTGGCGCCCGGGGCGCGGGTGGCGGGGCCGCGGGTGGCGGGGGTCCGGGCCGGGGTCCGCGCCAAGGGCCGCCCGCGCCCGGGGGCAGGGCCGCGCCCGCCGCCGCCGCCGCCCAGCCTCACGGACAGCAGCTCGGAGGTGTCGGACTGCGCGTCGGAAGAGGCGCGCTTGCTTGGCCTGGAACTGGCGCTGAGCAGCGACGCCGAGTCGGCGGCCGGGGGCCCGGCGGGGGCCCGCCCGGGGCAGCCGGCGCAGCCCGCGCCCTCCGCGCAGCAGCCCCCGCGGCCTCCCGCCTCCCCGGAGGAGCCGTCGGTGGCCGCGTCGTCCGCGGGCAGCAGCCGCCTGCCGCTCAGCGCCTCGCTCGCCTTCTCCGACCTCACCGAGGAGTTGCTGGACTGCGGGCCCGGCGGCTTCGTGCGGGAGCTGGAGGAGCTGCGCTCGGAGAACGACTATCTCAAGGTGGGGGCAGCCGGGGGGAGGCGCTGGCGGGACCACCGTGGGGGTGGGGGACCGCTCTCACGCGCCCTCTCCCAGGGTACCCTGGATGGGGAGGGGAGTTTGGGAGAAGTGCCTTGGAGTGGGGGGTGGGGCAGGCCCCAGGGTGCGGGGCTCATCTGGTTTCCAGCTACTCAGGACCCCACCCCCCGGCCAGGACTTCGGGGACTCCGCTGGGGAGACCTGTGGCCCCCGCCTGCTAGGGCTTCCCCTGCTGCCGGCCTGTCCCGGCCTGCTTTCAGGGCGGGTCCAGTTTGAAAGCGTGACATCTGGGAACATCCCCTTGGCCCGAGTCCACTTCCGCCCCGGCTAACGGTCCCACAGCCTGGGAGGATGATGTCGTGGGAGAGGCTGGTCAGCGGCAGCTTCCTATAAATCCCAGGAGGCTGTCTCCCTGTCTCTGGGCCAGGCCTGGTGCTCACAGCGCAGCACTGGTGGGGATCTGTCACCGTCCCGTGTTCCCCGAGGGGGGAGGGAAGCCGCCCACTTGGACAGGGGCATTTCCTTGGATGGGTGCAGACCTGAGCGCTCCCCTGGGAGAACCGACCTTGCTCTTGACCATTCGGTGGACACAGCACCTCCTGAGTGCCCCAGGCTGCGTCTGCCCACTGCCTGGCCCAGTGGCAGCTCCCTGGGACAGCCCAGCTCTCGTGTGTTGTCTTTGGCCTGGGCGGCTGGAAGCTTTGTGGAGCCCGTTGCCCCCAGCCCGGCCTGGTGTGGGAGGAGGCTGAAATGGAGAGCTCGCGTCCCTTGGCAGAGCCGTGGAGCTCCCAGCGTCCGCACCGGGCTTGCGTTTGTCTCTCTCCTGGCAGAATGGGCTTCTTCCTTGCTGGAGCACTGGGCTGGTGCTGGGCTGTGACTCTCGCCCTGTCTCCCCAGCTCTGCACCTGGCGTGGGTCCAGCGAACACTCGTGGGGTCCTTCTGAATCGGGGCAGTCTACCCTCCCCCAGCCAGGCCTCAGTTCCCCCTCTGTGAAGCTCACTGCTGGCAGCTGAGGTTCGGTCAGCTCCGACAATCTGCAGAAGCCAGGGGACTGGGGGGCAGCCCGGAACAGGCCTTTACGTCTTGCCCCCTCGATGCCCTGAGTTGCCTCTAGTACTGGCTGCCTGAGTGTCGGAGCTCCTCGCTCCGCCTCCTGGCCACGCTGCTTGTCCTGGCGAGGGAGGGGTCAGAGGCAGGGTCTCCAGGCCCTTGGCTTCAGGGTCTCCTTATGCAGTGACCTCCTGGGCTCTGTCGCTCCTGGGAAGTCTCAGGCTGTGCCGCCCATGACTAGTTAGATGGGTGCAGCCCAGAGTCTCACGGGCCAGGGCCCAGCTGGGGACATCCTAGTGCCCGGGCTGAGCTGAGCCTCAGTTTCCACCGTTCATCGATTGCTTTGGGCTTCTGGTGCGAGACTCTGGCCGCTCTAAGACCCTGGATCTGAAGCTTCCGGCCTGTGCTGGGGACGTGGCGTGGCATCTCGGCCTGTTTTCACATTGGTAGAAGCGGGCGAGTACTGCACCTCTGCTCTGAAGGTTAGGTGAGCTCGTGTGCGTGGATGCCATGGGACGCCTGGCCCGCGGTGAGCCTCTGGTGGCTGTCACCGTGAGTGCCACCGGTGCCGCCGTTCTCTTGTGGAGTGGGGCACGGGTCCGTGTGCACCTCTCTGCCGTTGACCTTGGCGGGGTGAACAGGTCCTGCCCTTCTGAGTCAGCCTGGACTCTCCAGGTCCTGGCCCCTCATTCACTTCTTCCTTTACCCATTGTCGACGTGTGGGGTACAGCCAGGGACAAGGGTGAAGCTTTGGGGGACGCGGGTCCTGCAGCCCAGTGCTCTGTGGGCCACACTCAGGGTGCAGAGGCTGCAGTGTGCCTGGAGCACCTGGGGGTGGGGGTGGGGGCTCAAGGGTGACACCGCGATGCTGACGGAGCATTCCAGGCTGTGGGGAGTGGAGTTCAAGAACCGTGCCGAGGCCAAAGCGAGGGCAGCGCCTGTGGGTGCGCGGCTGCCGTGTGATAGTCTAAGGACTGTGGATGTGGCCTTGGAGGCAGGACTTGTGACGGGATGTAACGTTTTGTCCACTCCCCAGGTGGGCAAGCCATGGGCAGAGCGGGGAAGGGTCTCAGCAGCCAGGGCCTGGAGCAAGAGTGTGCGAAACTCTCGTTGGGGCGCCTGCCCCATGGCCGCTGTGCTCTGAGGCCCAGAGCATCCTCAGCGTGGAGCCTGCAGGCCTCTGAGTGTGGCGCTGGGAGCTGTCGGTCCTGGGGGCATCCTCGGAGGATGGCCCGCGCCCCAGAGGAGAACATGTGAATGAGGCAGCTCTCTCCCAGTGAAAAGAGAGAAGGCCATGAGCTCACTGTCACTTGAATTATTCAGAGGCTGGGTGACCTGGCACACTGGCATAGACCTGGGGTTGGCGGACAGCAGCTGTAAATAAATGGTCCCGAGTGCTGCCGGCTGTGATGACTTGAACCTGAGCAGGTTCAGGGGGAGGTTTGTGCGGAGGCCACAGCTGAGCTGCTCGACCGTGACCTTGGGTCCCTTCTAGCCAAGGAAGCCTGCAGGTTAAGTGCTGAGGTTCCGGGATTCCCCGCATGCAGGTTTGACTGCAGAGCTGTCAGCTGGGGTTCACCCTCAATCCTGGTGGTCTGAGATCTTGTGGCTCCCCAGCACCCCTACCTGTTCCCCGCTGGGAGCGCACCAGGTGTGTGGTGAACAGTCCGGGAGCTGGGGCCCAAGGACCTGCTTTGACACCTGACGGGGCTTTGGGCAACTCGCTTGGCCTCTGTGAGCTGCCTGAACAACCTCACAGGATAGTCATCAGCAGTCAAGCATTCTGAATAGAGAAGACATTTTCCAAACAGTGGAATCCTGCATCTCCCTGGGAGTTGTTGTTATTCTTAGCCAATGAGCAGACAGGATGTCTGTGTCTTCCTCGTTCTCAGAGGAGCTGGGAGGGGGAGGGCCGGAGGCTGGATTTCCTTAGCATTAGAAGGGGGAAGGCCTGGGGCAATGCTGGGCTTCCCTGAGGATCCACGGGTCAGCGTTAGAAGCCTTAGCCAGTCGGGACGTCAGCTCAGACGAAGTTGCCATTATACAGGTGGGTACATGGAGGCTCCAGGTTATGCCGCCAGGATTCTCACCCTGGGTCCTGCCCTTTCTGCAGCGTGACCAGAACTGTGAGCTTTTGGTTGCTGATGGGACAGGCTGCAGGCTGCAGACTGAGACGGATGGGGCAGGTGGCAGACAGGACGTGCCAGGGGCCCGGAGCCTGCGGGCAGGGATGCAGGATGCGCACGTGGACAGGGTGCTGCTTCTGTAGAAGGGAGACGCAGAGCAAGCACTCAGTAAAAGTCAGGGCCCATCCCAGTACCACCTTCCCCTGACCCGCTCCCCTGAGCATTCATTTATTCAACACCCTTTCTTGGCTTTATTCTCAGTTTTGTTTATTTTTATTTACTTGAAAGGTGAAGTGATGGAGACATTTGTGTGTATATATATATATAGATCTCCCATCTGCTGCTTCCCTCCCCAAAAGGCTGGGCCAGGCTGAAGCCAGGAACCTAGAACTCCATCTGGGTCTGCCCCGTGGGTGGCAGGGGCCCAAGCACTTGAGCCACCATCTGTGGCCTCCCAGGCGGAGCGTTAGCAGGGAGCTGGATTGGAAGCGGGGGAGACTTGAACACAGTCCGATGTGGGATGTGGGCATTTCAAGCGGCCACCTAACGCATTGTGCCACAACACTCACTCCTTTCCTTTTCTTTTTAACTTATTTGAGAGACAGCTCCTGGCTGCTGGTTCACTTGCCAGATGCCCACGGTGGCCAGGGCTAAAGCGAAGGAGCTGGGGACTCCATCCAGGTCTCCAACGTGTGTGGCAGGAGCCTAGTTATTTGCCTGTTGCCTCTCAGGGACTGCATTGGTGGGATGCTTGAGTCAGGAGCAGGACTCGAACCCAGGCACTCTGATGGCAGAGATGAACATCTTCACCCCCAGGCTAAATGTCCGGGCCTCAGTATTTTCTGAGTGTCTCCCGGGTAGCAGTCCCTGCGCCGGGGCTGGACCCAGTGACTCCACTGTAAGCCCTTGGATGTGCACTACCTTCCTGGCTCCTAGCAGTGTAGGGGGAGGCACCAGTTTGTCACTGGGTCAGCAGAGCAGCTGGCTGGGCCCCACCCGCATCCCAGTGTCCCTGGGGCTGCTCTGAGAACCAGAGCTTTAAGAATCCTGTCTTGCTCCTGCCAGATGGAAAATGGATTGGAAAATGTGAGGCTGAGGCCGGGGGGGGGGGGGGGGGGGGGGGGGAGGGTGTGCTCTCCTCTCCGCGGGTGCGGTCTTGCACACACAGATGTCCGCGTGTGCGCTGCTCCAGCTCGGAGCACTCACACGTTGTCTCCCTTACACTGCCAGCGGCACACCCACAGGTGCTTCCAGAAGCCTGCCTGCACACCCGCAGCAGGGCCCCGCCCCCTCAGCACACATCTTACTCGCCCAGGGTCAGAAGGACCCGGACTCGGACAGAGCTGCACAGCAGCCCATGCAGATGCCACACGCCCGTGCTGGCGTCCATGGATGTGCATGGGTCCCGGCTCGCCTTGCCCCGGGAGAGCCGCAGGGACCTGCGCACCTCCCGAGGCTCACGGCCCAGGAGACACTGTGACGACAGCCACACCCAGGCGTGATCCACAATCCTAGATGCAGAAGTGGGAACACAGGCAGAGAGCTCAGGTGTGTCGGGCAGGTGGCATTTGCCTTCGGGAGCCGGAGAACCAGTGGGGCACGCACACACGTGTATATACACAGCCCCACAGTGTGGCTGTGACATTTCGCCCCCATACAGAGACACAGGAAATCCCAGGCCAGGTCTTCCTGGAGCTAATGTGTACCAACTCCTGCTGTTTGCAGCTGCTCGGTTGGGGCTCGCTCCCACATGGCTGCTGCAAACAGCAGTGTGGCCAGGGCCTTGGTTTTATAACCTGGCCCAG